ATTGGTGAGAAAGCGATAGGTCACTCATTTCCAAACAAACCAATCACACTCGTATATGCTTGGAATAGGCATTGGTGGACTGTGGTGTTCACTCATAGTCGGTTTGTTGATCGATATGGCGAAGATTCTGCTTGACTGAGTGTATGCATGTGTGTGCATGCATGCATACACGCGTGCCTGCCTGCCTGCCTGCCTGCCTGCCTGCTTGCAATTATGTGTGTGCGTGTGTATATATTTGTGTGTGTGTTTGGTGTTTCGTGTGAAAGTGTTTCTGATGATAGTTGGTCATTATTGCATTGGTGGATCGAGTGGATTCGAGTGACGTTGTGAGTGGATTTTCTCAGTGGTATGCGAACTCCTCGTTGTAATTGTGCACATCTCAAATGCTGACGATGGACATACACACTTGATGTTCGAGTTGTAAACCGTAGAGTGCATACTTATTGGGAGTTTGATGAGGTGGATGGTTTGTTTAGTGTTGTTCTGATGTGTTCCGCTTGACATAGTTTGCTTATGTGTTGTGATGAATGTGATTAATTTGTGTTTGTTGATGTTGATGTTGTTGTTGTTGTAGGTGGTGGTGTTGGTGTTGGTGGTGGTGGTGGTGTTTGTGAAGTTGATGCTGATGATGAGGATTAGGATTGTGCGTATGATTAGTATGATGAGTGTGAGGAGTATGAGGATGATACTGTATATTAGTTGATGGATGATGTGATAGTGATAATGGTGAGCGGAGCACCGCACGTCGGAGTGGCCGAGCGGTCTAAGGCGCCAGACTCAAGAGTATTCTTCTGGGTGTTCTGGTCCACGATGTGGGCGTGGGTTCGAATCCCACCTCCGACACATACTTTCCACAACGAACAACACTGAATAAAACAACAACTCAGTCGACACCACAAACATCAACCAACAAGCACAAACTGGGCCTCTCCTGTCTCGCTGTTCACCCACCTGACCAAAAACACACCGAAACACGTTCATCTGCACACATACCAACGTCTACAACTGTCACACCTCAATCCACAACATTGCAGCAACCACATACAGTCACGTAACCAATCGTGTATATTTGCATGTATGTATACGGATGCTTAGAAGCTTGTAAACATCGCGTCATCGGTGAATTTCACACACAACTTCTCACATTATCTCCTGAACTCTGGTGCAAATCATTCTCCACTTCACTCATCTCACTGACCGAATTCGTCCCATGTCTCGTCTTCCCAATACACTGTCAACTAGTTCTAACTACATTGCACACAACAACCGAAATCACATCACACCACATACACATACCCAGTCTTGTGTGCATTACGATCACAGACACGCACCCGACATTCACAGTCAAAACGCACACATAATCGACCGACGTTTCCAGTCCTCTCGATCAATACATAGCAAAGTGAACTGCACAACACACACATCGATGAGATCAATATGGGAGTGGCGAGTTGGCGAGACCCATACAGACGAGAGAGTTGACGTGATCCACAACTGACTTGCCATCCACGTGTCGACGAAACCCACCGCATTCGGTGGGTGAGATATAATCTGGTTTGATGAGGTTCCGTGCGACGAGCCAACATAGGGTGGGAGGGGATCAGTTGGGAGGAGATGCGAAGTGACGTGATGTGAGCAGGGGAGAGGAGAGGTGAATAGAGAAGAGGGCAATCTGAACACCGTTGTTCACAATGACTCCAGTATGACTGGCACAACCTGACAGTTGATCGGTCTGATGAACGCGACACTTATGATTGGTGAGAAAGCGATAGGTCACTCATTTCCAAACAAACCAATCACACTCGTATATGCTTGGAATAGGCATTGGTGGACTGTGGTGTTCACTCATAGTCGGTTTGTTGATCGATATGGCGAAGATTCTGCTTGACTGAGTGTATGCATGTGTGTGCATGCATGCATACACGCGTGCCTGCCTGCCTGCCTGCCTGCCTGCCTGCCTGCTTGCAATTATGTGTGTGCGTGTGTATATATTTGTGTGTGTGTTTGGTGTTTCGTGTGAAAGTGTTTCTGATGATAGTTGGTCATTATTGCATTGGTGGATCGAGTGGATTCGAGTGACGTTGTGAGTGGATTTTCTCAGTGGTATGCGAACTCCTCGTTGTAATTGTGCACATCTCAAATGCTGACGATGGACATACACACTTGATGTTCGAGTTGTAAACCGTAGAGTGCATACTTATTGGGAGTTTGATGAGGTGGATGGTTTGTTTAGTGTTGTTCTGATGTGTTCCGCTTGACATAGTTTGCTTATGTGTTGTGATGAATGTGATTAATTTGTGTTTGTTGATGTTGATGTTGTTGTTGTTGTAGGTGGTGGTGTTGGTGTTGGTGGTGGTGGTGGTGTTTGTGAAGTTGATGCTGATGATGAGGATTAGGATTGTGCGTATGATTAGTATGATGAGTGTGAGGAGTATGAGGATGATACTGTATATTAGTTGATGGATGATGTGATAGTGATAATGGTGAGCGGAGCACCGCACGTCGGAGTGGCCGAGCGGTCTAAGGCGCCAGACTCAAGAGTATTCTTCTGGGTGTTCTGGTCCACGATGTGGGCGTGGGTTCGAATCCCACCTCCGACACATACTTTCCACAACGAACAACACTGAATAAAACAACAACTCAGTCGACACCACAAACATCAACCAACAAGCACAAACTGGGCCTCTCCTGTCTCGCTGTTCACCCACCTGACCAAAAACACACCGAAACACGTTCATCTGCACACATACCAACGTCTACAACTGTCACACCTCAATCCACAACATTGCAGCAACCACATACAGTCACGTAACCAATCGTGTATATTTGCATGTATGTATACGGATGCTTAGAAGCTTGTAAACATCGCGTCATCGGTGAATTTCACACACAACTTCTCACATTATCTCCTGAACTCTGGTGCAAATCATTCTCCACTTCACTCATCTCACTGACCGAATTCGTCCCATGTCTCGTCTTCCCAATACACTGTCAACTAGTTCTAACTACATTGCACACAACAACCGAAATCACATCACACCACATACACATACCCAGTCTTGTGTGCATTACGATCACAGACACGCACCCGACATTCACAGTCAAAACGCACACATAATCGACCGACGTTTCCAGTCCTCTCGATCAATACATAGCAAAGTGAACTGCACAACACACACATCGATGAGATCAATATGGGAGTGGCGAGTTGGCGAGACCCATACAGACGAGAGAGTTGACGTGATCCACAACTGACTTGCCATCCACGTGTCGACGAAACCCACCGAATGCGGTGGATGAGATATAATCTGGTTTGATGAGGTTCCGTGCGACGAGCCAACATAGGGTGGGAGGGGATCAGTTGGGAGGAGATGCGAAGTGACGTGATGTGAGCAGGGGAGAGGAGAGGTGAATAGAGAAGAGGGCAATCTGAACACCGTTGTTCACAATGACTCCAGTATGACTGGCACAACCTGACAGTTGATCGGTCTGATGAACGCGACACTTATGATTGGTGAGAAAGCGATAGGTCACTCATTTCCAAACAAACCAATCACACTCGTATATGCTTGGAATAGGCATTGGTGGACTGTGGTGTTCACTCATAGTCGGTTTGTTGATCGATATGGCGAAGATTCTGCTTGACTGAGTGTATGCATGTGTGTGCATGCATGCATACACGCGTGCCTGCCTGCCTGCCTGCCTGCCTGCCTGCTTGCAATTATGTGTGTGCGTGTGTATATATTTGTGTGTGTGTTTGGTGTTTCGTGTGAAAGTGTTTCTGATGATAGTTGGTCATTATTGCATTGGTGGATCGAGTGGATTCGAGTGACGTTGTGAGTGGATTTTCTCAGTGGTATGCGAACTCTTCGTTGTAATTTTTACCGTCTCATATTCGTATTTTCGTCACTCCTTTTTTTCCGCTTTTGATTGATTTGTCTACTTTGAGTGTTTTTTCGTTTTTTTTCTTTGTTTATGTTTTAATCTTCTAGATTTTTCTGATATTATTAGCTAGTTCATTTTCTTTTTTTTCTCGTCTCTCTTGTTTTGCTTTTCTTATTCTTTATTTTTTTATTCGGTTTTTCAAAAATTTTCGCCCGATCTTTTCTCTTCCTTTTCTTGCGAATTTATTACCTGTGTCCTATATTTTATTCAATTTGTTTCATCGGTCTTGTTATTTAACGAATCATTGATTATTTCACGAATATTTGATTATGTACCTTCAAATGTCATTTCTTTCCAGTGTCATTTTTTCCAGCAGGTTTGTTTCATACCGACTTATCATTCAGTTGTGACATGTTCTATTTCGTTTCTTTCGCCCTCATTGTTAATTTGGATTATGTTAATTTGGATTCGTTGTGAACTTCTTCCAACAAGAAGATAATACGAAAGATGATATATATATAATAGACAAAGCTTTTCAGAATTTCAATGGTAAATTACAAAGCGTCATACAATTTGTAAATTGTATTTCATATTAGCTCCTAAGATTAGTATCTAATGATTACGTAATAATGCAATCATTAGTACTTTCAAATAACATTTTATTAGTAGTAAAGATATACTCGTAGAAATATTGTTCTTATTTAGATAATTCATTCACATATATATTCTATCAATATATAGACAATAAACAGTTAAGTACATTAATTATATTAGTTATATCAATAGAATGGTGCAGGATTATAAAGTGCATTTTTATACAACAGTTCTTACTTCTTCCATTATAACTATACTACTACTATTATCATTATTATTGCTACTACTACTACTACTACTACTACTACTAATACTATTACTATTACTTCTACTATATCTACTTAGAATTGCACTCTCCTCTTACTATCTATTCATCAACATTAATATGTCTATTCCTCTCTTCTTAGATTCAATAATCATACTACTTTTTTAAAAAAATGTTTTTCTTTAAAAATCAATACTTAATAGATTATTAATAATCAATAATAGTGATCAGAACATATTACTTGGAAAATTATTCACATAATTAATTTCTATTATCTTGGTAACAATTACAATTATATCTGGATTTATATTACATAGATTTTATTATATTATATTACAAATGATTGCAATAATAACATTCATTTATATTATATTATCATTATTGAATCAATTCATTATAATATATGGAATGATACCAGTACAATGTGGTTATAATTTAACTAGACGTATACCAGTATGTTGTCCATTAAGTAATATTAATGGTAAAGTATGCGGTGGACCAAAATATGGTGAATGTATACAAATATGGACACCTAAAGAGAAAGTACCAAGTGTATTTTTAATAGATGATAGAATTGATTGGCCAAAACGTTATTTTACATATTTTTGTCAATGTTTTGGTAATTATTTTGGTGCAGCTTGTGATGAATGTTGGTTTGGATGGAAAGGTAAACATTGTAATAAACGTTCAATTAAAATACGACGCGATATAAAAACATTAACTGATAGGGAATTATATATATTTAAAAGATTAATTGTATTAAGTCAAACATGGCCATCTGGTTATCTTTTAATTGATGAATCAGATAACTGGAATGTTGATCCACTGACAAAACCTAAATTAGAACATGCTCCTGTTCAATATTACATTACTTATTTACATCGTTATGGTAGCCGTAGTACATTGTATAAAAATGTTCAGGATTGTGAAGATTATGGAATATTAAATTTCAATCATGATGGTGTTTGTTTTCCAACTTGGCATCGTTATTATAATCTGTTATGGGAGAGATTGATGACAAAAATTGCGATACAAGTATTTGGTATATCAGATTATGCAACACCATATTGGGATTGGATCGGTTTAAGGCATTGTGATATATGTACAAATAGATATATTGGCGCACCGGGTAGACGCAGTGAAATGGGATTACATATATCATCTGGATCACCATTTAGTAATCTAACTGAGTACTGCTATGAACCAATGAAAGATTTGCTTTGTTCTGGTTGTCAGAGAGGTGGAAAAGGAATAATTACACGGGAATTTAAAAAAGGGAACCTTCCGGATGTAGAGGATTTGAAATTCGTTTTAAGCTTAAAAAAGTAAGTAGACAAATATTTATGCTTATGCATATACCACATAAAAGTTACATAACGTAAAGATTCCCTTTCAACTAATCTAGTATCATTTGAACAAGTTTTTTTTTCGGTTGACTAATTTGAACAGTGTAAACTCCTTTAAAATATTTATCACCGAGCTCTTCAATGGTTTTGAATCAGAATTGAAAAATAAGAAGACCAGTAGCTACAAGCTATTGGAAAAACATAAAGCATTTTTACCAATCATTTACTTGTATAACTTTCAGGATTATTAATTCATTTTTAATGTTTATTTGAATCTTTTCATTGATCTTTATGACTGCACAATTGATCAGTCTCTTATTGACATATATGTATTCTGTGTGGAATGCCTCGATGTCATAAGCATTATAAGCAAAGATGGATGGTAGCTAGTAGTGGAATGCAGGACGCACGTTTCGTCCCATTCGGACTTGTCATCTGGATGTACCTGCATCTCATAGTTGATATTTACTCCAGGACTCGAACCCAGTACCGTTCGTTTCAAACGCCATCATGTTATCCACTCAGTTAATGAGTCATCATAGCCACTGGCTTGTGCAATGTGATCAAGTTTCAATTCATGTTGTATTGTATACTTGAATGTTCCGATTAATGTTTATGACTGCAACTGATCAGTCTCTTATTGGCATATGTGCAGCACGCTGTACGGATTGCCTCGGTACTGCCTCGAGTCACGAGAATTATGTCATTGTGTAGTTAATTCTTGTTTATAACATCATGTATAGATTTCTCTATATAACTCAATACAAATTTTCCAGTTGCTTTTCTATGTACAATTTTCATTACGTTTAACTACAACAAACTGATTATTATACAATCAACACTGTTTGAATGAAGATATGATTTCAGAATTTTGAAAATAATTTCTACTTCATAATTAACAAATGAAAAAAACATTTAAAATATTTGAATACAAAAATGATGAGCAGAATGATAAACATAGATGTTTCTTGATTGAGATCTTCAACCGACTGATGTTAGACCACCAGTGAAAACCTGGAAGCACTGGACGGCAGGCATCATGCCAGCTCATTGATCTACTAGGTTAAGCGTTCACGCGCAAGACGAAACGCGCTGGGTTCGAATCCCACAAGCGGGATCGTGGATGCGCACTGCTGAGGAGTCCCACAATAGGACGAAACGGCCGTTCAGTGCTTCCAGGTTTCCAATGGTGGTCTAACATCAATCGGTTCATGATCTCAATCAAAACCTTAATAATCTCCACAACCCTATACTGATAGATGTTTCTATAAGCGAATATAAACTATTAACCTATTGACTAATGAATTGGGGTTAGTAAATCTTCATTTGTACCAGTTTTTGTGTTCTTACTTTTACGTCTTGAGAATTGCAGTGGTTCCTCGCTTTACAAGTATACAAGTGATAAGCGGCATAATAATCTGTGACGGTCAGATATAACAAGTAGCGTTTATTTGGGAAAACACATCAGATACCATATTCAATTTTGTTTTAATTTAATGAAATAAATATCCAATATTATTTAGTTGAATAAGTAAACATTCATTAATTGATAACATCATCATTTTGTAAAGCTGTAACCCTGCTACTATAATATTAACTTCAAGATGGTCAAGAAGATTTGTAGCTTAGATGGATGGTTTTGATGGAGTTTTATTCTACTTGAATTCTGTGCTGATGATATAGTTCAGAAGAAAAATGAAAGCTCCACGATCACCAAACCATTCAATCCAGAGAAAAATAAACCCTATCAAAATATTCACTTTTCAATTGATAAGTGAAAGTTTGTGTTATACAACCATCAACTAGATAAATGCATAATCAATGTCATGAATTAATAATTAAACAGATTCTCCAATAATTACAAATTAAATCTTAGAGATAAGTAACTAATTCATCATTAATAATATTTAAAAATGAATGGTTTACCACACTTTTGCTGCAAAACAACACTGAGTGAATATTTTTAATTATTTATATATACATATAGATTTCATGTTCCTGGTGAACGTCTCAGTCCTGTATGTCTATCATTTAATATCGCATTAGAAGGATTTTGCGGTCGACCCGGTGCTGATCCAAATCATAGATGGTTTCATAATAAAATACATGTATTGATTGATGGAAGTATGTGTTGTACAGCGACAGCAAGCAATGATCCATTATTTATATTACATCATATATTTATAGATAAAATATTTGAAGTAAGTTAATTTATAAAATTGAGTTTTGAAAGTCTTAGTTTGTGAATATGATTTAGATGGAATATTCAAAATCTACTCATTTCAGTAGTATTATAGAATAGTTTTGTCGTAGGCTTTCATTAATTGATTATCTAACTATTCAATATTAACTTGATCAGTTCATTTTATTAGGTCGACAAATTAAACTTGACTTTATTTGGCTTTTCTTGATTGAATAAGCGTCTTTCTCATGTAAATAATTCATGTTTAGTTTTTCATGTAATAAATGATGAAAAGAGTGTGCGATTAAATAGCAAAGACTTCACTTTAAAAAACCTCTAATACATAACCTTCAATTGTATGGGTTTTACGAAGACTCTTGGATGTCATAGATCATATGAAGAAATTATCTTTTTTCAAAACCCACTGAAGCCAGGACTTATTTACGCTTGTTAACCCCACTGGAGGAACATAGGCCTCTCACCAGCACTCTCTATCCAACTCTGTCCCGGACAATTATTTTCATTTGCTATTGATACTTTATATGTCTGTTTCCAATTCCCGATGCAGTATGTTCTTTGGTTTTCCCTTTTAATGTTTTCCTTCAGGATTCCAAGTTAAAGCTTTCCTCGTGATACAGTTTGGTGATTCCCTCAATGTGTGTCCTATCCACTTCCAACGTCTTTTCCTAATTTCCTCCCCAACTCGAAGCCGTTTTGTTCTCTCCTACAGTAGACTGGTGCTGATGGTGTCCGGCCAACGGACATTCAGTATCTTACGCACACAATTATTTACAAATACTTGTACCTTCTTGATGATGGTTGTGGCAGTTCCATATAACAGAACTCACTGTCTTGATGTTAGTATTGAAGATAGTGGCTTTGATATTGATTAACAGTTGTTTTGAGTTTCAGATATTCTTCAACTGTGGAATTGCTGTCCTTTTCTTGCCAATCCTCGCCTTTACGTCTGCACCACATCCTCCATGTTCATCGATGATACTACACAGACACGTGAAACTTTCCACATCTTCCAGAGATCCTCTATCAACTGTGATTGTGTTGGTGTTCTCTGTGTTGTATTTGGGGATCTTGCCTTCCTCCTTGTGTATATATAGGCCTACTTATGCAGACACTGCTGCTACACAAGTTATCTTCGTCTGCATTTGGTGATGTGCATGGAATAGAGGGGTCAGGTAAGTATTCTAACTGATTCCGAGCTATCCATTGTATTCCGTGTTTCTTCTCAGATGTCGATATCTTTATAATCCAGTCGACCTTCAGAAGAAAGGGGAAGGGAAAGAGTAAGCAGTCTTGTCTGACTCCGGTCCTCACTAGGAATGCACTTGTCAGCTGTCCTCCATCCATAACTTTATACTGTAGTCCATCGTATGAGTTCCGTATGATATTGACGATCTTCTCAGGCACACCATAGTATCGAGGAAGTTTCAATAATGTTCTCCTATCCACACTGTCATACCGCTTCTCATAGTCAAGGAAGTTGATGTATACTGACGAGTTTTATTCGATTGATTGTTCAACGATGATCCTTTGTATCGCGATTTGGTATGTGCACGATCGATCTTTACGGAATCCAGACTGTTGATCTCAAAGTTGGGCGTCTATGGGTCTTTCATCCGGTTCAGAAGCACTCTGTAAAAAGCTTTTCTCGGTACTGACAATAGTGTGATTTCTCTGTAGTTCTCTAATTTGCTTATATCTCCTTTCTTGAGTATCTTGATGAGATGTCATTCTTTCCAGTTCGTCAGTACTTGTTCTTCCTCCCAAATATTCCTGAATAGAACATGGAGCATCTTTGCATTTGCTTCTATGTCTGACTTCAGTGCTTCAGCTGGCGTATTTTCAGGTGTTGTTGCTTTCTCACTCTTCATTTGTCAGGTGACCATCCTTATTTTTTGATCGTTGGCGGAGTGATATATAGGAAGGTCTGTAGGCGCTGCTTCGGTGTCCGATGGATTCAGTGGAGTTGATCTGTTCAAGAGTTCCCCTGTTGTTGAATCGCAGTGATTATCTTGCCTCGATTTTACCTTAATTCACAAGCATTATAAGCAAAGTTGGATAGTGGCTAGCAGTGGAATTCAGGAAGAGCGTTTTGTCCTATTTTGGTCCTATTGAGTCGCATTGTGAACATCAACTCTGAGATGCAAGTACATCCAGCTGACGCGTCCCAGATAGGACGAAACGTGCGTCCTGAATTCCACTGCTAGCCACTATCTATATTTACTTATAGATAAAAAAAGTTTTAGAGTATAAATAAATTATGTCTCATTTTTTAAAAGAATTTCAATGGTATATATAAGATTTTTAAAATGAGCAGAATAATTTTCAGTTGAAGACTAATAACTACTCAATAATTAGATTACTTAAATCTACATTATAACCATAGGGATTGTGTAGAATATTATATGTTATTGAGATCGCGGACTGAAATAAATTATATAACCATTGCGAATCTGTAAGCACTAGATGGTCGCTTCATAACAGGATGGAACTTGTCTAGAGTGAGCATTTAAGACTCTACCACCAGGGATAAGATCCAGAGACTTAGGCATCATGCAAGAACGCTGAACCGGCATACAATAGTATACAAGTCCAAATACAATCAATCCTTGATAGTTAGCTAACATCTTTTATTGTGTTCAGTGAGTGCCTTCCTCACACCTTGAATTGTCGAAATCTATTGACCATGGCTTTTAGCTAGAATTCAGAAATTTTTCTCTTGAAGCTAATTACCAGTGAGCCCATGAGGATTATTAGAATGGGGTCTCGGGCGGTTGTTAAACTTGTACATAGAAGTTGTTGCATAGAAGTTAAGCATTTAAGCATACAGTTTTGGACGCTGGTGGTGGAATCTTGAATCCCAAACCCTGAGAAGTCCCACAATAGATTGAAGTAGCTGCCCAGTTTTTTCAGGTTTTCAACGGTTATCAGTCCATGATATTGATGAATTCAAGTTTCCTATTTTAATTAATTTATTTGAGTAGTTTGATTAACTTGTATAAAATATATGTGTAGTGAACGAGAACTCAAGTGAGGACAAACAAATTATTGTGTACTACAAAGTTATAGAATTGCTTGGTAAAATATGAAAACTACACATAATAAACTTCATTTGCACATCTTCCATCAGTTGTCACTTACAAACTTCATCAATCCTTCGATCTGTTATGTCAGCTACTTATATCCATATAAGTAGCATATAAGGATAGTCAGAAATAAAATGTATTTCAGTAGAAGATCGAGGAGGAAAGAAAGCGAACGGGAAGCAATTGGCATAAAAATGTAGGCACAATGAAATCTGAGAAGATGGGCTGATATTTGCAAAAGGAACAGTCAAGTTTGAGACAACTGATTGATATTTTGCAAATGAAGTATTTACTGTTTGGTTCTCAAGTTTTAGTAAGATTCGTTCAAATACACTCGGTTGTCTACACCTGTGTTCTTGTTCACTACAATTCCTGTTATTATAGCAGTTTCTATCTGTTTACGCTTCTGTTCTCTTCAATTCTATCTTCTTAACCTAATGCTGCCAGGTATCCCACTTCTGATTAGCGTTAGATACTACTTATGTCTGTTGTACTTAGTTATAGCCAGTAAGCGATGAAATAGAAATCAAATTTACTGACTAATAAATAAAACTGAGTTTGTAGTTGTCATTACCTTGGTTCCACTCGATAATTTGAAGTAAACTGAATATAGGGTTGTTTGTTATTAATAAAAAAATACTACATTTGTAGAGTAGAAAAATTAAATTTTCAGGTTACAAAGGGACCTTTGTATTATTTAAACTTGGAGTAACTTATTTATTCTCTGAAGAAGTGTCCTACACTGGGTCACGAAACGTCAAAAAATTTAATTTTTTTTAGTCATTAGGATGTTACAAATATATTATTTTTATTAAAATGAAAAATGTAAAAATGTCAAGTTTGACATGTGATATTTAAAAATGTCAGAATGAGTCGATTCATGAATTCAACCATTAAATTACTTCAATTTCCACAAACCTCATTCTGATCATAATCATCATGTGCTCACTAGTGACTGGCTCGAAAATGATTTCCTGAAGTTCTAGTGAGAAGCTGTGATCAGAGAAGATCAATCCGTGACGGGTAGAGACAGGTATCTATTTCAGACAATGGATGAATGGTTGCTCAGTCATTCATGAATCGATAGAAGTTAGACATTAACACCGTTTGATGATGGCTCAGTGGTCTACAGGTTAAGCATTCGTGCGCGAGACCGAAAGTCCTGTGTTCAAATCCCGCGTGCGGAATCGTAAATGCACATTGCTGAGAAGTCCCATACTAGGACGAAACAGCCAACTAGTTCTTCCAAGTTTCCAATGGTGATCTAGCTTACATCGACTCATAAATTCAGCTATTGAAATTCCTACAATCTCCACAAACCGCATTCACATCAAATTTATCATTTCTATTTTAAATGTGTTTTTTTTTCTTCTAAAATTTTAGTGTTGGTTAAAGACATATAATCCTAGTCCAGAAGAATACCCAGATAAACATGTACGTCCTGGACATTCAAGATATTCATTTATTGTTGGTATAATACCACTTGCTAGAAATATTGATTTTTTTACACCCTTAACAAATTTTGGAGTATACTATGATAATAAAATATTTGGTAGATATGCAGAGGATGGAAGACCGCCATTTTATTGTTCAAAAATGGATACTATCATAAAAGGTTCTTATTATTATTGAATAATTTTTTTTATTTCATTCAATATTCAATATGAATATTTAATTAAAAAACTGTAATAAAAAAATCAATAATTTTGGTGATTATAAAAAGTTAAAGTAGTTTAGTTACATAACTTACACGAAAAATCATAATAATTAAATATCGGATATTCAATTTATAGATGGATACTAATTTCATGTAAAGTTGCAATGAATAAGGCTTTGAAATAATAACTATGTTACGTAACAATGTGAAATACATTTTATTTAACTACTGAGATAACAAGTATCAGAAGGGGTTTTGTGGAGATTGTAGTAATTTCAATAGTTGAGATCATGAGTCAATTGAAGCTAGACCAGCATGGAAATCCTGGAAGCACTGGATGACTGTTTCTTCCTATTGTGAGACTCTTCAACGGCGTGCACCCAGTACCTATCAGTCTCGCTTGCGAGCGCTTAAACACTAGACCACTGAGCCAGCTGGGATCCAACGGTGTTCATGTCTAATTTCAACTAATTCACGAAGTTGAGCGACATATGATTTTACCTATTAAGTGTTTTACAAATTCCTATCAATCATAAGATTCACAAATGAATGAATTAAGAATCTACTGATCAATTTCCACAGTTATACATCTAAATAAATACAATGTTAAAGTAATAGCATGTGAATTTAGAAACACTGGGAAAAAACAAAATAGATTTGTTAGTATGATAGTTTCAAGGAAGTTGTTGAATTGACTTAGTTTACATCAAGGACTGACAGTAGTTAAATAAACATTGGACAGCTATTTTGTACTAGTATGAAACTTGTCATAAATGTGCTTTTCTGATGGTGATTGTAGTGGGCGTCTACTGAACCTTACATTCGGTCCAGCAAAATTTCATTGAAAACTCTGCTTGGTACTGACGGCAATTTGATTGCTATGTACTTATAACACTCACTTAGATCTCCCCTCCTCGGCATTTTTCAGGGGAATCTCTCTTTTCAGTCTGATGGCACTTATTCTTCTTAGCTCTTCCTCGGGAGAATGTGGAGCATCTTCACAGTCACCTCAATATCTGAATTTAATGGATCAACCGGAATGCTATGAGGGTCATTCTGCTTTAACGTTTCTGATTTGTCTGATAGCCGTGCTGAACTCTTCGATTATTAGTGAAGTATCATGTATAGGGATGTCTGTGTGTGCTACCTTGATGTTCAATGGGTTCAGTGACGCTGGTCTATTCAGGGGTTCTTCAAGGGGATCTACCCACCTGTCCAATTGCCATTGTACCTCATTCGTTGGTAATCCCTCTTGTTTTTGGCTGGTTGTTCTGGTCTACTACATTTCCCTGCAAGCTTCCTGAATGTATTGCATACTTCTCGCGTGTTTTCTTTCTTAGCTGCTTGTTCGACCGTAATTACCAGTTTCTCTACATATTTTTGATTGTCAACCCCCATGCTCCCCTCCACTCAATCGTTCGCTTCTGTATACTCGCATTGTGCTTCGGCTTTCTTTGCTCCTGTTCGGCTCTTGTTATCCGCCGTTTTATTTTTTTCCTTCTCATGATCTTGTCTAAGTTCACAGTGGTAATCTATTATCTGTGCTGGTGGTTCCTGCCGTCGAGCGCCTTCTGGCATATTGAGTTTGTTATGTCTTTCGCACTGTTACTTATCACGTGACGAGATCGATAATCAGAACACCAACTTATACGACCGTGGCCCTGTGCCAAACCAATGGCGCTTTAACCAGCACGAGCAGCCTCGGGCTAACTCTGGGTCTTTATTGAGCCTTCTAGCCTAGTCCTGTTCGTTGAATCCAGAACACAATCCTAGCTTCCACTGTATGAACCATGCATTTCAGACATACTCAGTTTATATACGAGTGAATCAGACCGCATATGTCGAAGCGCGTGTCCTGGATCTAACTACTATTCCCTATCCAACTCCGCATAAAATGCTAGTAGATTATAGGCAATACAAAGGCAATCTACACAGGATGCGAATATGGTGAGACTGATCAGTTCCAGTCGGACATTAACAGCTGGAAGAATTAAACAACCTTTACAAATGAATTATTTGTTGGGATGTCGATAATACCTGGTTTTGGTTAGCAGCAATATTCACATGTCTCATTTATATGAGACTATTTAGCATGAGTCACCTGCAGGTGCTAACATATGACAAATGCATTATTCGGTGCAGAGTATATACGAATGACATCATAATTCCTCGATCACTTCAACCAGTCAGTCAGTCAGTCAGTCAGTAACAACGTAGAACTTCGTACGTACGTACATCAGTTCGAGTTGCCACACCACATAAGCACAGAGATGCAGTTGTCGATTCAAATCCCGTAGTGGTAGAGGTAATAAGAGTATAAGCAGTAATAGGGAAGATTAGGGTTTGGAGATGTTCTTCAAGGAGTATAATCCAGTGAAATAAATTTGGAAAGAGGAAAAAAGGGACATGAAGAATTCAGAAGATTAGAATTTCGGAGAACACAGAGAGTGGATGCACCTGCGCCATTGCAAACGATTTTGAGCCATGTCATTCAAGGTCTCTAACCATCGGTTGCTATCATCTCGCAGTCCCCAACCAGGTAGTCTACACCTACCAACATGACTCAGTCCACTTGTCAGTGACTTCATGGACTTGTGCCATGTTTTGGTTTGGCCGCCTCTAGCTTTCTTCCAACCTACTCCTATACCACTGAACATAGCACGTCGAGGCAGTCGGTCGTTGGGCATACGTAACACGTGTCCCAGCCATCTCAACTGATGAAGTTTCACTACTTCATCAATTGATTTGCCATCCTTACCTAGCACCCGTTTCCTAACAACTGTGTTACTTACTCGATGGTCCCAGGATATACGAGCAATGCTTCGAAGACACCTATGATCGAATACTAGTAGCCTACGAATATCCTCTACTCTTACCGGCCATGTTTCACTGCCATAAAGAAGGACGGAACGAACTGCTGCGCAGTAAACCCGTCCTTTGATTGATAGACGGATATCTCGCCTACACCATAAATGACGCAAGTTGGCAAAAGCTAGTCGAGCCTTCTGTATCCGTGCTGAGATTTCGTCACAAACCAGACCACAAGGGCTGATGAGACTTCCAAGATAAGTGAAGCGGTCGACACACTCAACTACTTCACTCCCTATCACTAGTTCGGGTGTCGATGTAACCCAATCCTGAAGCAACATTTTGCATTTCGAGGGAGAGAATCGCATCCCGAACATGCTTGCATTGTTGCTTAGAGTGGTCAGAAGACTCTGCATTTTGTCAGCGTCTTCACCAAATAAAACTATGTCATCTGCATATTCTAAGTCAACAAGTGAACCTCCCGGTAGAAGTTCAACCGTTGGAATCCATACCTCAGATTTGTTAGTTTGCAGAAGAACTCAATTAGCAAAATGTTCCTCCGTATTGTGATTACTCTAAATATCCAATATAAGGATCCTTTCTTTACTTCATTGTTTGTTTATCTGTCCATCTGTTCTTTTTATTACGATTCTTTCACAATTTGATTGTTATTATATGGCGCATATGTATTTGGTACTTCTTGTACCAATGTTTATGAGTTCAAATAAATAACTAAAATAGACGGGATATTGCTAGAACGCTCAGGTCAAAACAGGTGGCTTTCTTAGAGGAACATCCCCTGAAATTTTGACCTACTCCACAAAGAAGCAGAGAAATGTCAGTAGTAGCAGTTCCACCTTAACCAGTCACTAAAATAGATTCATACGCCATTTGTCTCCTCAGAATCCTGCAGCCCACGCACACAATTTGTTCTGAATCAAGACAATCCTAGCTCCCCTACGAATGATTGCTGTAACTACCAACCCAGATTATGCGTTGAACGTCTACTTTTGTCTTCACTCTCACCACATAAAGACAACGAGTAGGACTAGACTGGCAGTCTACAAACAAGTTGTCGTATAAGAACACCCGATGAGAGGACTACACTTACCCACCCTCAACATACTAAGTCGTTTGTCGGCATCTATTGCCTCATTACGGCTCCCGCCAATAATGTTCTGAAGCTCAAACAACTCATTAGGTTTTAATTCTAACATACACTGCTCAAAATTTAAGATAGCGACAACGCTAGAGCGCTATTTCTAGGGGGAGTTCAAATGGGCCAATGATAATCAGACCAAGGCATATCTTTCTACGAAATTACTACCAGCTGTTATCAAGCATGTATAAATGAAGAGTACTTGAAGTCAGATGGATAAAGTTAATTAGTAGTTGGTGGTATGCGTCAAGACCATTCGAAAAAGCAAACTCAGTACAACTCTGTACAAATTCCGAATATTGTATCATCTTATGCTATTTGTTAACCGACTACCTTCTCTACGTACTTTTTATCCTTCGGTTTTCCACTAGTGTTGGTAATGTTATTTTCACTCCTTACACTATCCCCAGTCGGAATACAGTGAATGAGGTAACCGGAACAGATACGTTTTGAAATACCTCTCCAAAAATAAATCAGAATGACAAATTATCCCAGCCTTTATGATTTAATCTACATCATAAAAGACACCACTACTAACACTAACTCGTTCTATCCCTATCATTTATATTTAAGCAACAAAGTATAGGTGTAATTTTATTTATTTGAACACATTAATACAAGAGAGCACCAAATATATATGCGCCACACAAAACAATGGGAATTTGAAGAGAAGGAAAAAAGGTGAGGAGCGTTAAAAGAAAAACAATGACGAACAGAATAAGGTAAAGTAGCGTAATAATAATAATAATGGGGGGAACGAAAAGGTACAATCAGAAGAAATCTTCCAGTTAAGGAAGAAGCAAACACTTCTTATGAACAAAGTAAAAGTTTACAGCAGGATCGCCACTGACCATATCTGATAACGTCTCTAGCAACTGTGTTGCACCATCTCTCGGACCCCAGCCAGGCAGTCGTGAAGGACCAACACAGGCCAGCCCTTTGCAGATTACTTTCATACCACGACACCATGTCATACACTGAACACCTCTCCGCTTCTTCCAACCAGTCCCAGAGTCGGCAAATAATGCACGACGTGGAATTCTCTGGGACGACATCCGTAAAACATGTCAAAGCCACCGAAGTCGGTGTTTCAAGATGGTGACACCAATTGAATTGTCGTCTCAGCACCCGAACATACGATGCCGGACCTCTGCATTACTAACATGGTGTTGCCACTGTATGTCAGCAATCCTTCGGAGACAGCGATGATCGAACACAGAGAGTCGTCTAAC